GGCACCCAACTGGTGGGTGCAAATGGTTTCGGCAGGAGCCACACTCGTTCTGAAATCTTTCATCAAGATGAAACCATTACTGCCTCCGGGGAGGCACCATTGCGGTGATTAAATTTCGCACCTCCTGGGCATAGTCTACCAGTTTCACTCCCCTTGGCAGGTGGACAAGAACTTGCGATGCGCCCGAAACGTCTGGCTAGGTGATGAGTACAACCGCTTTATCTGTCGTTCCAAATCTTTCTATGTTGGAAGCGCCTATTTTTTTTACTAAGGTTTAAATCAATCGTGTTTTATCATGCGGGACCTTCGAGCTTGTTTGTAAGAACTACCAAATATATGGTCATTTCAACTATCCTCCTTTAGAGTGAAAGCTTTCTAGTTATCACGGCTCTTTTTAAGATACTTGTATATTAATAAAAATTATATCATTAATGTATGTATTCTTACGTTCCCTCTTTTTTGGAGTCCCATCTCTATGAATACTAACGCAATGTAATTGCACATTGAATATATCACAAAAGCAAGTATTCTTTTTATTATATTTGCTTTGAAGACAAGTAAATAAACAAATGCAAACATGCTTATCTGCCCAACTCCTGTCGACGAGTTAAGGATGTAGAGCCCAATAGAATTCCACTATTGTTTTTCTGATGGTAAGAGTCCAAATGAAATCTAAATTCTTCTCCTCTTCGAATGTCCATGTTGCTAGGCAATGGTTGCTTCTCTCGATTTTGATAAGAAGCCAGAAATTGTTGGTTCGATCTGAAAGGATGAATCGTGATCGGTGAATTAAGTGCCATGCAGGGACTGTTATCAGAAACTTTACTGCAGAAATTCTGCAACGCTTTGATGCTTGGCAGCACAGGAAGGACGTTCGGTGGTGTCCGATGCTCTGTATTCTGGGATTGATGATAGCTCCCTGCGTTCAAGTTAGATGTTTCGATCGTGGTATTAGAAAATTGGCCATTTGCACTTCTGGGGAACTGGTCATTAGCACTTAGAAGAGCTAGAAATCCGGATGCTCTGGAGGCGACACTGCTCGTACTATCATGCTGAAGACTTGGTCGAATTAGAGGTGAAGAGCAAGCTTTAACGCTATCATACAGCTGATTAGACGTATTCTGTGTGTGGGACTCTGGCGAATTTTTCGTGTGTACAAACAAGTCTGATCCAGTTCGCCAAGGAGAGTCTGGAGTGTACAAAGTATCCAGATTCCGATCATAATCTTCGTCTCCCGATAATTTGCTTGGGGCTGCTTGTAACGACGCTTCGCCTTTATGTCGGGAGCACATTCCACCACGTACAGCACGTTTGCAACAGTGTTCAAGTTTACAAATAGAAGATCCACCATGTTGCTGACAATAGTCATTAGCCATTGCGCGTCGGTCGCATCTCTCATGGGTACATCTGCGATATCCACCGTGTCTAACACAAAGTCCGTCGTATTGTACCACCTTGTTGCACCTATTGACTCGACATCGTTTGCCTCCTCCTAATCAATATTTCATATAACTATCAAACAATTTTCATGGATTCAATAAGTAACGCAATTCGTACCATGAGCTATACAAGCACCACCGCTCTGAGCACGCTTAGAACATCCATCGTAGCCACACTTCTTGCCTCCTCCGTGGACCCAACAAAAGCCTCCAGATTGAGCACTCTTGGTACATTCCTGAGTCTGACAGCGTTTTCCACCTCCGTGAGTCACACATAGCCCACGACTGACAACGCTTGTATTGCAACCATCAATAGTACATTTGTTGCCACCTCCATGCGAGATACACCGTCCTCCCCGCTTCGCAGTCTTGTGACAGTCAGGTATATTGCATCTCCTCGAGTTGTGTTTGGTATTGGAATCAGATAATATACTATCGCATTTGTCATCAAGAATGTTACGATCAGGTCCTTTCATTAAATCAGGACAAAGTATCTGGTCAAGCGAAGGCATGATGAAAAAACGACAACTTGTAAAAGTCTCAGTAACTTGGCTTGTGTCAAACGTTGAGTGGTAAACCAGCTCCAGATAGCAATTGTGTGGGACAATGGTCCTCGAGCCATCTGCGGTGGGAGAAGGTGAAACGAACAACCCGTTGATAAGGTTCCCAGCCTCTAAATAACGAGCGAGTCCTATGCTCAAGAACTAAACAATTGTATCGCAATTCACATGGTGAACTTAAAAACTGATGTTGTGTAAACTTGGATGTGAAGTTAGAATTCCAACCATTTCTGGATTAGTGCCTACGATCTAGCGAAGTAGCTAATAGAGGATAAGAATTAATTATTCATCCAGCTGCACCAAGACATCAAAACTGATGGAATTCTGGGATTTAGGGATGTGCTAGATGTACAATGCTGGTATCATAGATTTATATAGCTGCTACTCTTTGCGACACAACAACGGACGGCCACCTTGAAAGAGCGTTCCCGACAAGAATAGTACTCGGAGTGTCTGACAAGTATAATTTCTATTCTGTTAAATCAGAAAAGACACAAAAAGCTTGAGCTGTAGAATTCAAAATTAGTTTGTATTAACGACCATCACTGCCATTTGACATGCGGACAGACGGGAAAGAATCTGCATCGCATAGTGGTAACGTCTATCGTCTGCGGGTTACGAAGATCAAACCCATTGTAATAGCAGCTGCAACAGCAGCGTATCCCATGACTTCATCTGATACACCAAGCCATTGAGCCAAAGCACTGGGGGTCGTTGGGGACGCGAATTTGACTTTCATGTCTTTACTTTTAGCAATGCTGTTTTCAATATCACGTTGTATCATCTTGGCCGCAATTGGGTGGTACAGATTCTTACAGTCTGCAAAAATTGCTTCTGCTTGGGCGGGTCCCAAAGCTGTACAAAGATCGCGAAAGAGCGGACGTACAAATTTCATGCGTCCCTGTTCCTTAAGCATTGCGACAATCTTGTCAAGCAGACGCAAGTCACCAGACCGAAGTGACAGCGTATACCAGCGGAACCGAAGCTCAGCATTAAGTGTCGTTGTCAAGTGGTGCTGTGTAAATGAGTTGATGGCATCAAGATGTGCGGACGTAAAATTAGCATGTTCCTGCTTCAAAAGCAGTGTGTCAAGCAGCAAGATCCATAAGCTGGTAGGCCACTTCTTTAAAACACTTTGACTGACGCTCGTCCAAGCTTCTGCATTGCTACTTACTGCAATTTGCTCGCCTAACGTAGTCGCTTGGCTCGTTAACGTCGTATCGAACTTGTTGGCTACAGGTGGCATTCCAGGCGAGTAGAACCAAGCATCCCAATCAATCTTTTTTATTGCCTCGTGCTGGGCAAAGTACGTTTCAAAGAACGCACGGAACTCGTTGGACGTGATAGTTTTGAGCTTAAATTCTTGGATGTAAGCCTTTGCAAACTTGTCAAACTCGTCATGACCACCGACTACCGTTGAAAGATAATGTAGGAAATTGAAGCCTTTTTCATATGGAATGGATGAAAAGACTTCATCTGGATCAATGCCATCCATGTCTGGCACCAAAGCAGTAAACGGATGTTGTGGGCCAAATTCTTCTACCGCCTCAATTAAGTCTCGAAGTCCCATGGCCGCCTTCAAATCATACGCTTTGGGGTCTTGCGCAATGCGCGTTTGGATCTTGCGCTCTAACCACATGGTCCAGCCTTCATTAAGCCAAAAATCCGTCCACGATCGATTTGTTACAAGATTTCCAGTCCATGAGTGCGATATTTCGTGTGCAACAACGTCTGCAAGGGATCGATCCCCTGCCAAAAGTGTCGGTGTCACAAATGTCAAGCATGGATTCTCCATACCGCCGTACGGAAAGGATGGTGGCAAACATACGAGATCGTAGCGCTTCCAAACATATTCTTGCCCCGTTATTTCTTCTGCGTGTTGTAAAAATGCTTCTGTCTGGGCAAATTCATGAGCAGCTTTTGTTACGACGGCTGGTTCTGCCCACACACGACTACGTGAACCTAAGTCGACACTCTCAAGCTTTCCCGCTACAATCGCTAGCAGGTATGAGGGAATCGGGACCGACTGCTGGAACGAAACTTGATATGTTTCGTCCACGCTGTTGTGATTTTTGCGACCCTGAGGATCTGCAATTGCGCTTAAGAGACACGTACACCATTCGGGCACAGTTACGGTAGCCGAATACGTAAATTTGCACGCTGGTGTGTCTGGACACGGCACGATGGTGCGTGCATGGATGGCCTGGCATTGTGTGAATAGATACGGATGCGTCTTGCCAGCAGTGAGCTCCTTGCTGAGCCATTGTAAACCGCTAGAATTCGACGTGGTGTTATAGTCCACACGGATTTTTGTGGCATGGCTTGGTACAGACACGACGAGCGCACGGCCAAAAACCGCGTGTTCGTGTTCAGCTAGAGAAAAGGGTGTTTCTTTGCCATCAACATAAGTCTGGGAGATGCTTAAATGGTGCGTATCCAGCACGACAACAGAGGACGGGGCGGTGGACATGTGCTGGAATGTATACTCGGCATATCCCTTCAACTGCTGAGAGGAAAAGTCTAGCGCAATGACCCAGTTTAGATGCGTAAACGTCACCTCATCTAGATTCGAGTACGAGTGGGAGCGAAGGGTGCGACTTGAGGCCATTGAAGGAGGGGGTTCCACAGACGGGGGATACTCGTTTAGAATATGTGAGATTCTTCAGACAAAAGTTGTGACAGTATTCAGAACGTTTGGTCCCAATTAAGTGTCACTTACTGGGGTGGTGTATTATGTTCCATTGCAAGTATCATTTTTTACCGAAGATTAATAGTTTTACTAGCCATGCGCCGCTCGATTGGTGCATATTGAGTCTCGATCGCTGTTCCTGCTCGCGGTTAAACAGTTCTTGGCTTTTGTTGCATTAAATAAAGACTTTAAGCACAAGTAGGAAGGATGTACGACAAATAAGGTCTCGATTATTCCTGATCTCACAAAGATATAGAAACGTAACACTGGAATAATGGAGACTGACTGAGAAAATTAAGCATTTCTAAATTTTGTTTTCTTCATCATAATTCAACGATATCAGTGGAGGCGATTGAACCCTCGGTCTTGAGCGTGTAAAACTCGCGTCCTAACCACTAGACGACACGTTCGGACTCCAAAAGGTCTTACTGTACACAACAGTCTAACTGTTTTTGAAATCTCAGACGAGGCCACTAAGTTGACCAGGTCAAAGCTTGCATATCAGAATGACCTTCAAAAGAATCAGACGACCTTAAATGAAATCAATTGAATTTGAGCGACCAGAACAGCGTTGTTGAGTAAAGATAGTTCGCGATCATGCCAGTGTTTGCAAGTGAGCCGATTTTTAAGATTTCAGATTATGAGAGGCAGACCGAAAAAAGAAAGAGTAGCAAGGTGCGGCTTGTCAGACAAATTGAGCGAGGGCATTGAACCCTCGATCTCGAGCGTGTGAAGCTCGCGTCCTAACCACTAGACGACACTGACATGTTCAAAGGCGAAACTTTTTTTACAATGATCAACCTCCTAAACGTTATTATAATGCCGATTGAAACCACTACTCTGACTAGATCAAAGCCAGCATAATTTTAGTACCTCAAACGAGGTCGACCTATTGTGAACGATCAAACAGCGTCATTGTATAGGGAGCGATTGCGATGTCATGTCAGTGTTTGCAAACGCAAGCTGGGATCATCAAACCAGATAAAAAGCGTTGGACAAAGAAAAGAAAGCATTTTTAAATTTTGCTTTCTTCTTGAAAATTTCAGCGATATCAGTGGAGGGGATCGAACCCTCGATCTCGAGCGTGTAAAACTCGCGTCCTACCCACTAGACGACACTGACATGTTCGGACTCCAAAACATGTTTTACTGTACACAATTGTCTAATTGTTTTCAAATTCTCAGACGAGGCCACTACGTTGACCAGGTCAAAGCTTGCATATCAGAATGACCTTCAAAAAAATGAAATCAATTGAATTTGAGCGACCAGAACAGCGTTGTTGAGTAAAGATAGTTCGCGATCATGCCAGTGTTTGCAAGTGAGCCGATTTTTAAGATTTCAGATTATGAGAGGCAGACCGAAAAAAGAAAGAGTAGCAAGGTGCGGCTTGTCAGAAAAATTGAGCGATATCAGAGGAGGGGATTGAACCCTCGATCTCGAGCGTGTGAAGCTCGCGTCCTAACCACTAGACGACACTGACATGTTCAAAGGCGAAACTTTTTTTACAATGATCAACCTCCTAAACGTTATTATAATGCCGATTGAAGCCACCACTCTGACTAGATCAAAGCCAGCATAATTTTAGTG